CGCGGGCTCAGGCAATTCACTCACCTCAGCCTCCCAAAGCACTGGGATTACAGGCTGAGCAACCGAGCCCGGCTTGTACCACATTTTTTTAGTCAATCCTATTTTGACGAGCAGGATGGTTGATTCCATGTTTTTGCTATTGTGAATAGTGCTGCAGTAAACATGTGTGTGCAGGTATCTTTTTGGCTGAATGATTTGAGTTCCTCCAGGTATATTTCCAGTAGGGGGATTGCTGGGTCATATGGAAGGTCAATTTCTAGTTCTTTCCGAAATTGCCACACCCACACTGTTTTCCAGAGAGGTTGCACTAGTTTGTATTCCCACCAACAGTGTAGAAACGTTCCCTTTTCTCCGCATCCTTGCCAGCATCTGTTGTTTGTTTTATTCATGATGGCTATTCTTACTGGGACTAGTGGTATCCTAGTGTGGTTTTAATTTGCACTTCTCTAATGATTAGTGAAACTGAACATTTTTTCATGTGTCTGTTGGTTGCTCGTTTATTACCTTTCGAGAAGTGTCCATTTATGTCTTTTGCCCAGTTTTTAATGTGACTGTTTTTTTCCTTTCAGCACATTTGAGTTCCTGTAGATCCTGGGTGTTTGGCCTTTGACTGATATACAGTTGACAAATTTTTTTTCCCATTCTGTGGGCTGTCTCTCCACTCTCTTGATGGCTTCTTTTGCTTTGCGGAAGTTTTTCAGTTTAATGAGGTTGCTGTAGGTGCTCTTGCAGTTCAGAGCTATTCTCAGTGGCCTCATGGGCCCACTGCCTTGGCTGTGGTCTCCATTGGGATGAAGCTCTATGCTGCCCAGATCAGAGACACTTCCTTCTGTGTCTAGGTGCCTTGGGATGGGCAATTGCTAAACGACACTCTTCTTTCAAGATGCTGGCATTCTCCACTAATCCATGGTTTGACTCAAAGTCTGCTTCTGATTTCAGATTTAAGGTCTCACTACAAAACTAGGCTGGCCATGTAGGTTGGCCTATGAGGCAGTCATACCATTCTGAGGGACAGCAAATGGCTGCCTGCTCAAGCCCTTGGGTGGATGTCATACCTCCAACTTGACCTGTCCACAGCTGAATGTGTCTTTTCCTCACTTCCAGCCTGTCCTTCTAGTGTTACCCATATCAGTGCAAGGAACCACCTTCCATCCCACTCCTCGTCCCTGAGAACATCCAGCATCTAGTCATCTGGTCTGGTGGCCGCCTCTGGCAGAACCCCTTCTGCTGAGCATCCTGTCTGTCTCCTCCACTGCCCCTCTGCTGGCTGAGCCAACCTCGTTGTCAGCTGGACCGAGGCAGCATCCTCCCACCTCTTTGCTCTCATTTTATCCCCATGTCTGAAACACAAATAGGGTGAGATCACGCGACCTTCTCTAGCTGTCAGAACACTCACTTCCAACATCACTTCCTCAAAGAGACTCTTCTGATGAGCTCTTACTGCATTCAGATCATCCTAAACTTTTAGTGGTTCAAAACAGCAGCAATTATTTATTATTGGTCATGATTTCAGGAATTCTGGAAAGATGGCTGCACAGCTCTGACTCAGAGTCTCTCTGGTGATTGTGGTCCGATGCCTGGAGCTAGGGGCCTGGAGTTCCTGGGACTAGCTAGCATGTCTTGTTCTCCTCTTTGTTTGTTTGTTTTAGTCAGAGTCTTACTTTGTTGCCCAGGCTGGAGTGCAGTGGCATGAGCCCAGCTCACCACAGCCTTGACCACCTGAGCTCAAGTGATCCTTTCTCCTCTGGGCACCCCTATGCCTGGCTAATTTTTTGATTTTTTTTGTAGGGATGAGGTCTCGTTATGTTGCCCAGGCTGGTCTTGCAGTCCTCCTGCCTCAGCCTCCCCCAGCGTGCTGGGATTGCAGGTGTGAACCACTGAGCCCAGCCTCTTGTTCTCTCCTTATAGCCTCTGGGCCTCTCTGTGTGGACAAGCTTGAGCTTTCTTACAGCATGGCAGTATCAGGGCTGTCCGATTGCTTAAAGGCGGTTGGAGGCGTCAAGAGCCCACATTCCAGTGAGGAGGGGGCAGCTGTCTACCTTTTAGGGCCCAGCCTGAGAAATTGCACAGTGCCAATCCTGGCATCTCATGTTGGTTGAAGCCATCACCCCTGGCTTCGAGGGGAGGGACATAGACCCATCTGCTAGTGAAGTGGGCATCAAAGAATTGTAGACATGTTTAAAAACCACCACAGAGGCCATCACAGTACCCGGAATGTCTCCTTCGGGCACAGAATGCATTTGTAATTCATTTTGACTATTTTTGTACTATTTAGACCAAAAGCTACTCAAAGTCTGTTTGGTTCACCAGTAGACAGACTCTCAGTGCTGAAAACAGAACGGAAGATTAGTGAATACATACATGAATGAATGAGTGAGTGATTAAGCAGATGCTGTTGCTAAAAAAAAAAAATCGTGGTATGATCACCTAAAGTAATTCCTAGTTTCGTGGCTCCCATGTGTTCTGGCTACCCCAACTTCCCTCCAATAGCATCTATCAAGAAAAACAGAACAAAGCCAGGAAAGACCTTTGGGGTAAGTTAGAGAGGGACTCTATTCGCAAGGCTGTTCAGCGTTATGGAAACTCTGCAGTGCCTTGGGCTGATTGTGGCCTGTCCTCTGGGGCACAGGGGCTAGTTAACCTGGTGGAAAATCCAGTTAGGTTTGCAAGGGAAGCTGGACTGACGGTGTTATATTTAATTTCCAGAGGAGGTTGGCAGAACACCCCCGCTGGAATGGTGCTGCTCCCCCATCGAGCTCTCTGGGTGTTATTATGTTATTCACAGTACATTTGTATCGTGCAGAGGGCACCTGCGTCATCGCACGTTCCCGGAGCAAACAGGCATTGGAAAGAGTGAGCACAGGTCGCTGTGGAGATGGCATGTTACGGGCCCACAGCAGGGCAATGAATGCCTCTTTGCTCCTGGAGGGGGAAGCCCGGTGCCATTTCCTATCTAAGAGGGAAAGTACATTGTCTTGTGCAATAACGAATTGGGCCCAGAAAAAGCCTCGCCTTGACTCTGGCTCTCGGGGTAATAGGGCCAAACTAATGGGTGGGAGAACAGGGACTCTCCAGGGCCAGCTTCTTCCCCGTCATGAGCACACTGATGGCTGCTGCCTGTCCAGATGCTGGCTATGTTGCCTGCCAAAGCAGGGAACTATTAAGAAGCCAAGGGGTCACACGTCAGCCCAGAAGATCATCCACGCCGGCTCTAGTGGTGAAGTTGGTGAGGCTGATTTGACTGTAGGGCTGGTCATGCAGCAGCTCACTGCAGCCCCGTGCTGTCAGGGAGTGGGCCTGGGCCAGACTCCTGAGTGTAGGCCTCGCCTCTGCCACTTGCTGACGGTATGTCCCTGGCCAGACACTCAACCTCTCTCCGTTTCACTTCCCTGCATTGTGAAGTGAGAAGATGTCACTGAGAGCGTTCCACTGGATCAAAGGAGTCAATACCTGTAAATGTAGTTAGAATGATCCCCAGCACATAAATGTGACGTTAGTACTCGCCACGTTTGTGATCACGGCGGCACAGGTGGGTTATTTGGCTGTTTGGGGAGTGTCCAGGTCACTAGGAATGGGGCCATCACCGATCAAAAGATGCAAAGTATTCCTGGTCTTAAATCGGGCTTTTGGCTTTTCAGGGCTGGAAAGGAGAGGAACAAAGCAGACAGGTACGCCCTGGACTGTCAGGAGAAGGCATACTGGCTGGTGCACCGATGCCCTGTAAGTATTCTCCCACTGGGCTCCCCCCAGGATTCCCTGTGCCCTCACCCCCATCCCATAATCACTATCCCTGCTGCCAGCTCCTGTCCCTTGGGAGCCAGAGTTGGAGCCACCGGGGGGCTGCTCAGTGTTGGGTCAGCATCCCGGTGCCTCTCGGTGGAGGAGGATGCGTGCTGTGGACGCATCTGCTCATGGCCTGTCTGGTTCTGTTAGGTATGGAGTGACCTGGATGCATTTGTGTTTTATTAGTGTGGGATTTTGTTTGCTTGCTTTTGACCAGGGTACCGTACCTTAGAGAAGGACTACAAGAAGCAAAGCTAGAACATAGGCTCCAAAGCAGAAAAGCAGAGTGCTGTGAGATTGGAAGTGGTAGAGCCAGAGCTGTGCTTGGTGTCTCCTGCTCCCTCCCCCTCTTCTCCCCTAGATGCATCCCCTGGTGGCTGAGATGGAAGGATGAGGAGGAGTAAGTGTGCGGAGCGCTTCCCATTGGAGCACGATGCATCTCTGGCCTTGGGACTTTGAGTGGTCCAGAGAGACAGGCTGTACGTAGCTGATGTAACTGGTTCCCACTTGTCCCTGGGAAATGGGAGCTTCTTAACCAGCACAGAGAAGCAGCTCTGACCACTACTGACTGCTGCCCATGGATCATGGGAGGTGGAAGAGTTTGAAATAAATGTTCTCCTTCCCCCTCCTTTAGTTTCCTTGCCTGCCAGGTATCAGAAATTCCCAGAACCAGAAAGTGACTTGGGTGAGAGGCATGGTGCCAAAGCTTATGAAGTTTTGAACTTCAAGCCTCTCAGACTTTGGCTGTTTTGCTTATTTTCTTTTTATATCCAAAGGAGATTCTCTTTGAGGTGTTATGTCTCTAGGGGCAGGGGTTTGAGTGCTCTGTTGCTGAGGTTGAGGTCCTAGGGTTGGTCCCCAAGCAGCACGTTTGCTTTATCCTTGCTTCAGAGTTTCTCTTCAAGGGAGACCAGCTTGCAGATGCCTGAACCAGGTCCCTGGGGGCTGAGTGATAGAGCATAGTGTCCTGGAGACAACACACGCCACCCTGTTGGTGGCTCGGGAGTGAGGTCTTTGTATGAGAAGGGAGCCACACATTGCTCTGTGTTCCCACAAAAGCACACCTTGGTGAGGATGAGGGAGAGTGGTGGATCGACATCCTGGTGAAGCCAGGACTTCACAAGATGTCCTGGCTCCTGGGAGCACCGTGAGTGAGGGAGCCCTGTTCCCTGCAAGGTAGAGAATAGCGCTTTTTTTTTGTTTTTTTTTTGAGTTGGAGTCTCACTCTGTCGCCC